CCCCCCCCCCCCCCCCCCCCACCGCCTCACGCAGGAACTCAGCAATAGCGGTAGGTGCCTGCGGCACCTGGACCCTTCCTGACATCAGTCCTGGCTTGGTGCCGCCGCCTCTACAGGAAAGAGGGGATGGAGGGTGCCGGCGTAGGGAAACTGAGGCATGGCACAGGGTGTCTGGTGCATCCCTCTCCCAGCTGGCTGGTGCTCCCTGGGAATGGGTTTGGGGTGGGTGCCTGGAGCGCCCCTGACTCCACTCTGCCCACAGCTGCGCACGGACTCAGAGAAGCGCTCGCTGGCGGAGAGCGGACTGAGCTGGTACTGTGAGGGTGAGGACAAGGCACCCAAGAAGCTGGACTACGACAGCAGCAGCCTCAAGATGGAGCACGGCTCCTCCAAGTGGCGGCGGGAGCCTTCGGAGGGTGGTGAGGAGGGGCCCAAGGGCGGGGAGCTGAAGAAGCCCGTCAGCCTGGGCACCCCGGGCTCCCTCAAGAAGGGCAAGACCCCTCCGGTGGCCGTGACCTCCCCCATCACCCACACAGCCCAGAGCACCCTCAAAGTGGCAGGTGAGACCCAATTTGAGCAGGGTCCAGCTCCTCTGATGGGGAGAGGGTTGGGTGGCATCTTCATGGGCCTTCCCCGAGCATGTCGGCCACGGGACGCCCTGTGGCTGTGCTCAGACCTGGCAGCTGGACGGGGGCTGGAGGGGGTGGCGGGGCTGTGCATCCCTGGAGGCAGGTTGTGGGTCTGGCCCCCACGCTAAACCCTGCTTGCCCAAGGCTGTGCCTGCCCCATGGCCTCGTGGCCACATGCCAGGCTGGCGGCTAGCTGGGTGCACAGGGGGCCTGGCCGTGGCTCTGCCCCAACTCCCAGGATGGTGGCACGTCCTTTCTCCATCACATCCCTGCACCTCCAATGCCACTGTCCTGTCTGGGCTAGTTTACACCCAAATGTTCCCAAAGCCTCCCGGGACACTAACCCATCCTTCCTTGCCCACCAGGCAAGCCCGAGACCAAAGCCACCGACAAGAGCAAGCTGTCTGTGAAGAGCACAGGCCTGCAGCGCTCCTCCTCCGATGCCGGTCGTGACCGCATTGCTGATGCCAAGAAGCCACCCTCGGGTCTCACGCGCCCCTCGGCCTCCAGCTCCTTTGGCTATAAGAAACCAGCTCCTGCCACTGGCACGGCCACTGTCATGCAGGCTGGGGGTTCGGCCACGCTCGGCAAGATCCAGAAGAGCTCTGGCATCCCCGTCAAGCCAGTCAGTGGGAGGAAAACAAGCCTGGACGTCTCCAACGCAGCTGAGCCTGGCTTCCTGGCCCCAGGGGCTCGTTCCAACATCCAGTACCGCAGCCTGCCCCGGCCGGCCAAGTCCAGCTCCATGAGTGTGACTGGTGGCCGTGGCACAAACCGGCCAGTCAGCAGCAGCATCGATCCCAGCCTGCTGAGCACCAAGCAGGGCACCATTTCAGTGTCACGGCTCAAGGAGCCGTCCAAGATCGGCGCCGGCCGCGGCGCGCCGGCCCCTGTGAACCAGACGGACCGTGAGAAGGAGAAGGCCAAAGCCAAGGCAGTGGCACTCGACTCTGAGTGCGGGACGCTGAAGAGCGTCAGCTCGCCTGAGAGCACCCCAAAAGCCCAGGCCAACCTCCCGCCGGCGGCCAAGGTGGCTGAGCTGCCTCCCACGCCTCTCAGGTACGATCCTTCCACCTTTGAGGGCAGCAGGTGCTCGGCACGGCTGTGCCCAACACCCAGCCGTGCTCAGCACCTGAGTCTCTCCGGCTTCCTTACCCATTTTTCCCCCCTCCAGAGCGGCTGCCAAGACCTACGTGAAGCCTCCCTCGCTGGCCAACTTGGACAAGGTCAACTCCAACAGCCTGGACTTGCCCTCCTCCAGCGAGCTGCACCCCCCACACACTGCCAAGCTCCAGGACCTGCACCCGGCTGGTGGGCACCTTGCGCCCTGCTTCAGCCCCAGTCCTGCCCCCATCCTCAACATCAACTCGGCCAGCTTCTCCCAGGGCCTGGAGCTCATGGGCGGCTTCAGCGTCCCCAAGGAGGGCAGGATGTACCCCAAGCTCTCAGGCCTGCACCGCAGCATGGAGTCCTTGCAGATGCCCATGAGCCTGCCCAGTGCCTTTTCGGGGGGCAGCACCACCACCCCCACCCCTGCTGCTGCACCCCCTGCCAGCACAGAGGAGGAGGAAGAGGCAGGGGAGCTGGGCTGGAGCGGGAGCCCCCGGCTCGCACATCTGGACAGGTATGGCTGGAGGGAGAGCACGCGGCTGCCAGGGCACCTCTGTGGGCTCAGATCCCTCCCTGCTGTCCTGCTATGACCTTTGCCTACTTTGGAGGCTCTTCCCGCTACATTTCTGGGGAAAAGCTCCCTGTCCCCGCAGCTCAACCCCCATGGCACCTTCCCCCATCTGTGCAGGGATGTCACTGATCTTTCCTTCCCTTCCAGTGCCAACCGTGACAGGAACACGCTGCCCAAGAAGGGTTTGAGGTAAAAGAGCCTGAATCACTTTTGGATGGTGCTGGGGAGGGAGGGTGGGCAGGCATGTGGAGTTTTCTGCAGGGGGGGTACTGGCGGGGCCCCCCACGCCCGGGGGTGGGGCGGCCCGCTACATTTCTGGGGAAAAGCTCCCTGTCCCCGCAGCTCAACCCCCATGGCACCTTCCCCCATCTGTGCAGGGATGTCACTGATCTTTCCTTCCCTTCCAGTGCCAACCGTGACAGGAACACGCTGCCCAAGAAGGGTTTGAGGTAAAAGAGCCCGAATCACTTTTGGATGGTGCTGGGGAGGGAGGGTGGGCAGGCATGTGGAGTTTTCTGCAGGGGGGGTACTGGCGGTGCCCTCCATGCCGGGGAGGCTGGGCCGCAGTGCAGCGGGCAGGAGCCAGGATGGTACTGGTCCACCTCACCATGCCTGTCTCTGCTCTGCTCCCCAGGTACCAGCTCCACTCCCAGGAGGAGGCCAAGGAGCGGCGCCATTCACATGCTGTCAGCAGCGGGCTCCCCGAGTCGGACGACCAGCAGGAGCTGCCCTCACCTCCCGCCCTCCCCATGGCGCTGGTCGGGAAGGGTCCGCTCACCAGCATCGGTCAGTGCCCTCCACTGCCAGCCCCATTCCGCTTGCGGCAAGCCCTGTTCCCCCTGCTCCCCATCACCCCGTGCTCCCTGTGTGACTTGCTGATGCTGCCCTGGATGCTGCTTTTCTCCTCGACACCCCCAGCAGCCCTAACGCCCAGCGCCTGGTGCTTTTGGCCCACTGAGGTGCTGGGTTGTGCCCAGGAGCCAGGGATGTCCATCACCTCTGCTTCGGGGCGTCTCATCCACGCTCGGGGCTCTGCCCACGGCTCCCTGTTCCTCTTGGTGTGCCCGGCAGGGCAAGGGGTGTGAGCCCTGCCCTGCCCTTGCCAGGACCTATGTGTCCCTGGAGGGTTTGGGGGGTCCAGGCAGATGGGTTGGGGCTGCTGGTGGGGGACAGCGAGTGATGAGGTGCTCCCCTCCTGCACCCGGAGGTGACGGGCTCTGGCATGGTGGTGCCCACTTTGCCCTGGGGCAATGGATTTGTTTCTCAGCCCTCTGGTTACCTTGGTGCTGGTGTCCAGGTCTTCCCAGCATAAATCTGCATTTTTAGCATTCCCCCAGCCCCCCCTGCTTTGGGACCACAATCCCTGCTTCCTCTCCGCATCCCAGCCCTTGTGGATTGCTCCCAAGCCCTGCCTTCCCCATCCCGATCCCAGGTCCCCGGTGTGACTCTGACCCTGCTTCTCCCCTGCCTTCTTGCAGTGAGCCCCACTGCCGCCGCAACCCCGCGGATCACCCGCTCCAACAGCATCCCCACCCACGACTCCACCTTCGAGCTGTACAGCACGTCCCAGATGGGCAGCACCCTCTCCCTGGCCGACAAGCCCAAGGGCATGATCCGCTCGGGCTCATTCCGGGACCCTGTGGACGACGGTGAGAGTGTGCTGCGCTCCTGCCCAGGCGAAGGGGGCTCCCAGGGGGGTGCGGCGGGGCTCCCCGCACACTTGTCCCTTCCTCTTGGCGCTGCTGTGGCACTGTCAGATGGATTGGTGCATCCCGTCCTCGGCATCAGAGCCGGGGACGGCAGCCCCGAGGGGCCTGGTGGACCCCTCTGCGCTGGCATCTGCTCTGGGCCACAGCCTGCCCTGACTGCTGTGGGTGCCCAGCATCCCTGGGTTGGCCCCAGGATGTTGTGGCAACGGGGAGGGGGGGACCCAAGCAGCCAGGGAGGGTGGCAGAGCCCCTGGGCTCAGCCAGAGTGGAGGGTGCAGGTGGAGGGTACTCCCCACGCCCTGCTGCACGCCTCATGCCCGGGGAGGTCACCAGCCATGCGCCAAGAAATGGGCAGTGCTGAGCAGCTGCCATCCCACCCTCTGCCTCCCCCGGCCCCCCGCAGAGCCCCCCTCCACTGGGAGCTCTGTCCCCTGCACCCTGCTATGCCCTGCACCTGCAGCCCCTGGGGATGCCACTGGCCAGGGGCACCCTGACGTGCCGGGTTTTATTCTGTTGCAGTTCATGGATCGGTGCTGTCCCTGGCCTCGAGCGCGTCCTCCACCTACTCCTCCGTAAGAGCCACCTCCGTGCTGCACCGCTTTGTGCATGGCTGGGGGGGCCCGGGTGGGAACGGGGGGGCTCTGTGCATGCCTCTGCCTCGCGCCGAGCCTGTCTGTGCCTCGCTGCCCTCCTGACTGCCTGCCTCTGTCTGTCTCTCTCTGTTCTCGCACTGCCAGGCTGAGGAGAAGATGCAGTCCGAGGTGAGCCTGCACCCTCTGCTCGTTGCCCGCCCCTGCCACTGCGGCGAGGGTGAGTGCCTGGCCCTTCTCACTTCCTTCACTCTCTCCCCACAGCAAATCCGTAAGCTGCGCCGCGAGCTGGAGTCCTCTCAGGAGAAGGTGGCCACCCTGACGTCCCAGCTGTCTGCTAATGTGAGTCCCTGTGGGAGTTGCTGCTTGCTGCAGGACACGCCGCTCTGTGTCCCTGCAGTGCGTGGGGCTGGTGCTGGCCTGCGCCCACGAGAGCCTTGATTTTCCCCTCTCCAGCCTCTTGCATCCCACACCCGGCAGCGGGTGCTCGCCCAGCCATGCGTGCTTGCCCAGGTGCTCACCTCTTTCTTCACCTCTCACAGGCCAACCTGGTGGCGGCTTTTGAGCAGAGCCTGGTGAGCATGACATCCCGCCTGCGGCACTTGGCTGAGACCGCTGAGGAGAAGGTGGGTGCTGTCGGGGTGCCAAGTAGGTGCTGGGGGGCACTGGCGGTGCGGGAGGGTGCTCATGAGGCTGGGGGATGCTGGACTCTGTGAACCTGCTGCAGCACTGCCCACCCCAAGGGTGCTCTTGGAGTGGGCCCTGCGCCACTGGAATGCACTCTACGGTTCCTGGCTCTGCTCCCCCAGGACACGGAGCTGCTGGACCTGCGAGAGACCATCGACTTCCTGAAGAAGAAGAACTCAGAGGCCCAAGCTGTGATCCAGGGCGCCCTGAATGGCACTGACGTCACCCCCAAAGGTAAGGCATGGCTCGGCAGCCCCCTGCTGTGGGGGTTTGCAGCCCTTCCTGAGCCCCTCGCCCAAGCCCAGCTGGGCTGCTCCTGCCTGGGGCTGGCACAGGGCCCCAGGGCACCCCTCATGCCAGTGAGATGTTCAAATGGGAGGCAGGGTCCCCCGGGCAGCAGCTCTTCCCCACCTGGGACCCCTGAGCATCTGAAGCCAGGGTCAGACAGCCAGAGCTGTCACTGTAGGAGGTCTCGGTGCTGGTGCCTGGGGGTGATGGGTTGCTCGTCCTCCCTGGGACACCTCTTCACCAGGCCCTTTGCCAACAGCCCAGTTTTGGCTGCTGGTCTTGGCTTTGTTCCCATGAGTGCTGTTTCTATCCCCAAAACCCCAATGTAAGTGCAAGGCGCTGGCAGGGAGGTGGCTTGGGACAGGAGCAGAACAGTGTGTGTTCTGGGCATCTCCCTGGGGTTTGGGGTCACTGTCCTGAATGGCAGCACCCGTGTGGTGTCTGAGCCCCATGTCATCTTACAAGGTGGCTCTGAGAGCTCAAGAAGGTGTTTGGGTGGGAGAAGGCAAGGGGTGCAGGGAGGAGAGTGCAGGTGGCTCTGGCGTTGGAGCAGACGCGGTTTGCTCATACCTCCTTTCCTGGTCTCTCCTGCTTCTCTTGTTGGCCCCAGAGCTGCGCATCAAGCGGCAGAACTCCTCTGACAGTATCTCCAGCCTCAACAGCATCACCAGCCACTCCAGCATTGGCAGCAGCAAGGATGCCGACGCCAAGAAGAAGAAGAAGAAGAGCTGGGTGGGTTGGATGGGGCACTGGGAGGAGGAGCGGGGCTTGGGGAGCCGCTGGCAGGGTCTGGCCAAGGTCAGCCCCACGAGCCAGCTGCTCTCGGTCTACCTTGGCATTGTGGTGTTGGTCCCGTGTGTCCCCTGGGAACAGCACTGGCGAGGAGCGTGTAGCCACCATGGATTTGTGTCTTGACGTGCCGGCTGGGAACTTCTCCAGCCCCTTTGGGAGTTTTCCAGCCCTGGTCCTGCACCCCTGCTCCCTTGTGGCTTCCCCACGTGTCTCCCTTCTGCCCATGTGGGGAGCCGGACACCTTGGCCAGGCAGCCCCTTCCCTGCAACAAGCAGCTCTGAGCTGGACACGCGATTAAGTCTTGCTTTGTTTTGTTTCTCTCCCCCTATGCTGACCTCAACCCTTTTTTTCCAGGTGTATGAGGTAAGACTTACGCCGTCCCCTCCACCCCATGCCGTGCCCGGCCAGGGCCCTCGCTCCATTTTGTGGGACAGTGCTCATAACACTATCCATCCCATCCATCCCACTGGCACTAACCCCCAGCACGGGCCATCCCGGGGCCCCCAGCCAGGCTGTGCGCACCTTGGCTGCTTCCTTTGATGCTAAGGCCAAAATATGCACCCACGCGGAGGGGCTGAACTGCCCTGGGTGGCCCTGAGGCAGCAGGAAAGGCTCGGATGGGGACCTGTCCCATGGATGGGGACAGTCCCCTTCTTGCCCGGGGAAGGCAGGCACTCTCCTGACTCCCCGTAGCCAGATCTTTTGGGATGGGGACCTCACTGCAGCTGTGCCTGTGGCACCGGGGTGTGTTGCTGCCTGCCTCTGCATTGCCAGGGCTGGCCTGATGTGGCCCCAAGTGGCTCCCTCCCTGTCGGGACCCACATGGGTCCCAGTGTTCCCCTGCTCTCCTGCCATCAGCAGAGCCTGACACCCACCTGGGTTTTTACGCTGAAATGCAATGCTTTTTGCTTTTGGGGACACACCAAACCAGCCTGCCTGGTGGCTGTGGGAGTTGGGCCGGATCTTGCCTGTTCTCCATCCTCTCTTCCTCCCACCTTCCCTCGGAGCAGGCTGTGGCCCTCCAGGGGACACTGTGTGAGCCCGGGGTGCCTGTCCTGCTGCTCTCCCGCAGGCTGGTGGTGCATAAGCGAGACCCAGGCCCGGTTTGGCCCCCTGTGCCATGTCCATCCGCCCTCCCTGGCCTCAGCACACCGCTCACCCGCCCACTGCTCTGTGTGTGCTGTGTGCATGCTGCATGCCTGGGCGGGACCCCCGGTGACATCTCGCGGGGGGCTGGCTGGCCCTCTGCGCTTCCAGGAGGACCCCAGAGGGCAGAGGGAGGTGTGGGGCTGAAACTGTCCCCTTGCACCAGGACCCCGGCCCTGCAGTGGCTGGAGGGGGGATGTCCCCCTACACGCCACTTGCTGGGATGGCTGTGGTGGGGTGAATGTGAGGATGGAGTCGGCCCTTCCCGGTGGACCAGGGTGCTGGTGCAGTGCCTGAACACCCTGATGTGGGTGCTGGTGGGGAGCAGGGCTGCGGGAAGCCTGACCAGGACATGGGTCCCACTCTGCAGGGCTGTTTGGTGCCGTCCAGGCTGGGGCTGGAGTGTTGCACAAAGGGCCGTGCACCCCCGTCTGTCAGCTGTGCCAGCAGAGCGGGGTCAGGCTGGTGCCTTCCCCGGGGCAGCGGTAGGGCACAGTGCTGCCTCGCTGATGGATATGGTGTTACTTGGCCCAGCTCAGACTGTCTGTGGGTCCTGGGCAGACGGGGGCCCCGGGGCAGGACTGGGCCAGGTCTCTGCTTGCAAGGCTGCACTGTCAGGCTGTCCCTAACGAGCATTTCCATCTCCTGTAGCTACGCAGCTCCTTCAACAAGGCCTTCAGCATCAAGAAGGGACCTAAATCAGCCTCGTCCTACTCGGACATCGAGGAGATTGCCACGCCAGACTCGTCGGCCCCCTCCTCCCCCAAGCTGCAGCATGGCTCTACAGAGACTGCCTCACCTTCCATCAAATCCTCTACGTCCTCCTCTGTGGGCATCGACACGGCTGAGTACGTGGGGCCAGGGCAGGCAGCACAGGATGGGGAGGGCCGCTCGTGGGGGCTGCAGGCTCCTGCCCTGGATGCGTGCAAGACTTTCTCTCCCTTGGCCTAGGCTCTTCCAGGCCCACAGCGAGGGCGAACCAGAGAAGAAGGAGGTGTCGGAGCTGCGGTCAGAGCTGTGGGAGAAGGAGATGAAGCTGACGGACATCCGCCTGGAGGCCCTCAACTCTGCTCACCAGCTGGAGCAGCTGCGGGAGACCATGCACAACATGCAGGTGAGGACCACTGCCAGAAGCCCGGCTGGCTCTGAGCACCTGGGTGGCCACAGTCCCTGCGCCCCCACAGCCATGCTGCAGCCCCGGGATGCTGCCGGCATGCAGCTCCTCACCTTGTGCCGTAACCGGTTCTCCCCCAGCTGGAGGTGGATCTCCTGAAGGCTGAGAATGACCGGCTCAAAGTGGCTCCGGGGCCCTCGGCAGTGCCAGGCTCCGTTCCCGGCCATGTCACGAGCACGTCGGCCTCCTCTTCACCGCGGCGCTCCCTGGGTCTCGCCCTCGGCCGTGCCTTCAGCCCCAGCCTGGGGGACGCAGGTAGGGGTGACGGAGCTGCTGGCAAACAGGGAAGGGCTGGGACAGAGGCGTGTGTGTGGTGGGAACGTGCTGCTGCTCACCTGGAGGCAGCTGTGCATGGGGATCTGTTGTGCCGCCAGTGCCATGATCAGCCACAGCAGGATTTGGCACAGGCTGGGCACGGTCAGGCCTGGTGGCTCGGCTCTCCCTGCCGGCACAGCCTCACTGCTCCATCCCTAGATGTGTCCCCCATGGATGCTGTCAGTGCTGGTGCCCAGAAGGATGAGCTGACACTGCGGATTGTGGTGCGCATGCCGCCCCAGCACATCATCAAGGGGGTAAGTGTGGGCTGTATGGGGAGCCTGACCTGTCCCAGTGCCACAGCCCTGGACAAGGGGCAGAGAATGCCTCTCTGGGGCTGGATGCAGTGCTCCAACTCTGCACACCTCTGCCTTGGCTCCTAGGACCTCAAGCAGCAGGAGTTTTTCCTGGGCTGGACCAAGGTGAGCGGGAAGGTGGACTGGAAGATGCTGGATGAGGCTGTCTGCCAGGTCTTCAAGGTAGGAGCATGAGGACCCCTCTTTTGAGAGCTATCCTTTTACATTGCTCCACCGTGCCTGATGCTCCCTGGCCCAGGTCCTTACCAGGGTCTCCTGGAGCTGCTGAGCACTGCTTGCTCCCTGCCAGCCCTCAGGGGCACTGACAGCCCTGTCCTTGTCCACATAGGATTACATCACTAAGATGGATCCTGCTTCCACGCTGGGGCTCAGCACTGAGTCTGTCTATGGCTACAGCATCAGCCACATCAAGCGGGTCCTGGACACAGAGCCGCCAGAGCTGCCGCTGTGCCACCGGGGCCTGACCAGCATCGTCGTGACGCTCAAAGGTCAGTGTGGCGGAGAGGCTCCATCCCTGTCCCATCTTCCCTCTGTCTCACGGTGTCGTGGGGTGTGAGCAGGACCCTCAGCCCTCCCCTGCCTGCAGGCTTGAAGGAGAAGTGCGTGGACAGCCTGGTGTTCGAGACGCTCATCCCCAAGCCCATGATGCAGCATTACATCAGCCTCCTGCTGAAGCACCGGCGGCTCATCCTCTCGGGACCCAGCGGCACTGGCAAGACCTACCTGACCAACCGCCTGGCTGAGTACCTGGTGGAGCGCTCGGGTCGGGATGTCACCGAGGGCATCGTCAGCACCTTCAACATGCACCAGCAGTCCTGCAAGGTGACGGCGCGCAGCAGCCAGAAGTGTTCCTGTTGGTACTGGTGCTGTGGTCCCCATTGGCAGCCATGCCACAGCCCCATGTGTGACACCTGGCCCGTTCGTTGCAGGACCTGCAGCTGTACCTCTCCAACCTGGCCAATCAGATCGACCGGGAGACGGGCACGGCGGACGTGCCGCTGGTGATCCTCCTAGATGACCTCAGCGAGGCGGGCTCCATCAGCGAGCTCGTCAACGGTGCGCTCACCTGCAAGTACCACAAATGGTGAGAGTCCCACTGTACCCTCCTCCGGCACAGTCTCCCGGGCACACGCATGCTCCCTGCTGCTCTCAGCAAGATCCCTGGGCTTGTGGAGATGAGACTGCACGGCTGCGCATGTCTGCTGTGCTCAGATCAGCTCTGCCACGGGCGGGGATGATGCAGGGTGCTTTTTCTCATGGATCCTGTCTCTCTCTCTCTCTCTCTCTCTCTCTCTCTCTCTCTCTCTCTCTCTCTCTCTCTCTCACTCACTCAGCCCCTACATCATTGGGACCACCAACCAGCCTGTGAAGATGACCCCAAACCATGGCCTCCATCTCAGCTTCAGGTGGGAATTGTACATCCCTGGGGACCATCCCTGTGGGGTTGGGGGGAGCAGAGGCCATCACTCCTGCCCCTGGGCAGTCCTGGGGACACATCCTGTGATTGGGGACCCTGATGAGGACCGAGCCCCAGGCTTGTCCCCACCATCCCAGAAGGATCTGATGCCCCAACCTTGGGGACATGCAGTGTGGGGGTGCTAGGAGGTCCCCCGAGGGTGCTGGGGAGCAGGGCGGCTTGTGTGGGGACCCAGCCCTGAACACCTGAGTCTTTCCCCCAGGATGCTGACCTTCTCAAACAACGTGGAGCCAGCCAACGGCTTCCTGGTGCGCTACCTGCGGCGAAAGCTGCTGGAGTCAGACACAGATGTTAATGCCAACAAGGAGGAGCTGCTGCGTGTGCTGGACTGGGTGCCCAAGCTCTGGTACCACTTGCACACCTTCCTGGAGAAACACAGCACTTCAGACTTCCTCATCGGTATGACCTTGCCGCACACCTCCCTCCTCTACCTCGCACTGCTGGGAGCCCCCCAGGGACTGGGGCAAGACCCTCCCAAAGGAGCTTGGGGAGCTGATGTGCTGCCCTGTGTCCCCCAGTCCAACACAACCAAAAGCCGGTGGGCGACACACACAAGTGTTGCTCTTCCCTGGGTGGCATTCGTTCCCGTGCTCCATGGGAGCTGTCACCATGGTGTCAGCCAAGGCTGCCGGTCTTACTGGCACCCTTCCTTGGGCACGGGGGAGCCGTGTTTTCCCAGGCAGGTCTCCCTTTGCCTCACCATGCTTTTGGGGGGTAGATTGAACTTAGCAGCCCCATTCCTTGCCCGGGAGCTTGCTTTCTGCCCATGCGTGTCAGGCAGATGCTGCCCAGACACTGCTCCCAGGAGGTGGTCGAGTCCAGGGCACCCTGCGCAGCCAGGCTTGCTCGCCTTGGTGCTGTGCTGCCACGGGGCCAGTGACTGGAGCAGGGGGACCCAGCCCCCATTTTCGCTCTCTGCCTTCCCCCCCCCAGGTCCCTGCTTCTTCCTGTCCTGCCCCATTGGAATTGAGGATTTCCGGACCTGGTTTATCGACCTGTGGAACAACTCCATCATCCCTTACCTGCAGGAGGGGGCAAAAGATGGGCTCAAGGTACCCAGAGCTGCCTGGCACGTGGGAACGCAAACCAGCGGTGCTTGGGGACATGCTGATGCAGCAGTCTAATGGGGTGGGGCGAGGGGAGGCGCTGGGATTTTGGGCACAGGTGGCATCTCTTGTCAGTCCCTGCCCTGCCCTGTGGCTGCAGCAGGACTTAGCACTGTCCTGGGGGGGCTTGGGGTGCCACGTCGCTGGCTCTGGCACATGCTGAAGAGGTGGTTGCTGCTTGCTCCCTACCTGCAGGTTCACGGGCAGAAGGCAGCCTGGGAGGACCCCGTGGAGTGGGTGCGGGACACCCTACCCTGGCCGTCAGCGCAGCAGGACCAGTCCAAGCTGTACCACCTGCCCCCACCCACCATCGGGCCCCACAGCACTGTTTCACCTCCTGAGGAGCGCACCGTCAAAGACACGACGCCCAGCTCCCTGGACTCGGACCCTCTGGTACGGCCCTGCTGGGGAGGTGGGCCAGGTGGAGAGGGGAGAGCAAGGTGGATCTTCGCTTTCCCAGTTATTTTTCAGTGTAAAAAGCCCGATTTGGGGATGCAGAAACATTTTGCACTCCTGGGAGGAGCGGTGGGTGCGGGATAGTAGCACTGGCAGGCAGGCTGCACACCGAGTCGGCACATTGTGATATGCCAGTGAGTGGGCACAGCGTGGCGCTGCACGAGGCATCATGTCCACACGCAGAGCCACACACAGACTGGGGCTTGCACATATGTGTCCGGGTGTGTCACCTGGAGAGGCTGCTAGCAGACAGGCTGCCACAGATGATGTCCCCCCACACTGCCATGTCCCCACATTGTCCCCCCACACTGCTTTGCCATGCTCAGCCTTGAGCATCCCAGCTGTGCCCAAGGCCAGATCCTGGGGACATGGAGGGATTTTGCAGCATCTCTGGACTTTGCGTTACCCTCTAAGGAGCTTCTTGGGGTGGTTGGTTTGTATGGGAGGGGAAGGAGGGCCTGGTGGCCTTGGCTTCCCCACGGTATCCACGGACCTCTCGTCCCCCTCAAGCTTGGTGCCACGCTCCTCTCCCTGCAGATGGCCATGCTGCTGAAGCTCCAGGAAGCCGCCAACTACATCGAGTCTCCGGACCGTGAGACCATGGTGGATCCCGACCTGCAGTCGACTCTGTGAGGCCTGGACATGCCGGCCCAGGCGGAGGGGAGCCGCTGCCAGCCACTGCTCCTACCGGGCTGCTCTCCTTTTCCTTTGGTATCCCGGAGCGCGGGGCTGGCGAGTGAGCGGAGAGGACCGGGGCTCTGGCGCGTCCCAGCGGAGCGTGGGGAAGCTCGGCTCATCCGTGGGAGAGCACGAGGTGCCGTCTCCCCTCCCAACCCTGGGGGTAGGAGAATCCTGGTTTGTCGTCTTGATTTTTTTTTTTTTTTTTTCTGCCACTCTGTCTCTAATTGCAAACTCTTGGGCTTTGGGGCCAGGGCGACCGACGTGGCTGAGCCCCTGTTCCTGGGAGCTGCAGGAAGGCCCCTGCGTGGGGCAGGGACCCCGCGGGAGCCACCTGGGCCAAAGCTGGGGGACACAGGAGGAGTGTGTGGCCGCAGGACGAGAGTGTGGGCGAGAGGGTCTCCAGCTCCCTCTCCACCCAGTCTAGGCGTAGCCTAGGGCAGGCGACGAGGGAGCCGCTGCTGTGGGAAGTGCTGGCCGTGGAGGAGCACAGCTCTCACTGCTGACTTTGTACATTCCCCATTTCACCTGCATGGCAGCCGCTGCGACCAGGACAGCCCAATAAACCCTGCTTCAATTATTTTATTTTGTTTCCCCCCTCCCATTTTCCTTTGGCCGAGTCCAGACTTTGCTTTGGTCCCTTTTTTGTTCTGGTTCTTTGCTCTCCTGGCCTGGAGCCCGTGGCCCGGTGCCCACCGCTTCCTTGTAAGCAGCTCCCTTTCCCTTTGGTTTCTTTTGCAGCTGTTGGTTCCACCACTCAAACCACCTCTGTCATGAAACTGGTGCTCACTGGACGACCTCCAGTCCCTGAACCCACCTCCCGGGGCTTCACAGCTTGGCTGAGATGGGACGTGGCAGCTGGTGGCAGTGGGATGCTCCCAGAGCAGCCCCTTGCCTGGCGGCTCCCCTCTCCCCAAAAGCACAAGGCCGAGTCTGGCCCTGGGGCCAGGGTCTCCCACCAGGCCAGGATGACACAGGGTATCCCCTCCCACTGGCCAAGGCCTGGGCATGGGGAATATGCTGCTGCCCCATTCTCGGGCAGCTGGACCCCTGCCCTGTCCCCTCAGTGGCAGGGGGGTACAACCTGCCCCATGTCCCCTTGGTGCTGCCAGGCCTGGGGGTGTGGGTTGGTGAGCTGTGCCTGGGGGTAGTCCCCATGCCACTGCCTCCCTAAGGCCCTTGTGCCTTCCTGAGCCCTATGGCCTGGCAGGGTCTCGCTGTGCCCCGTGTCGGTGCTCTGGGACCACCTAAGGCTGCCACATGTCCTCTTGGCCCTACTGTGCAATGTCACAGGCGAGGCTCCTGGCATGGAGGGGATCAGCCCCGGTGCTGCCGCGGTGCCTTAATCCCTGGCCGTGCGGGAAGGGGGCACGTGGGGCTTGGGCTGGCGCTGTCACAGCCTGCTGCGGCTGCAGTGGCCTATGACTGTTCCCAAAGCCAGCTTGGCTGGGATGGAACCAGGGTGCTGGCACTGGCCTGAGCAGGGCCAAGCTGGGGCTGCTGCCTTCAGCACCCCGCGCTTGCCTGTCCTCAAGCATGGCTGCAGGGTGCTCTGCTGGCCCAGCACCTCCCTCCCTGAGCCCAGCTGGGCTCTGGGGCTCCCCTGCTCCCCTCTGCTGCCACCCAGCTCAGCTCCTGCACTCAGCTGGGGCCCTGGAGAGCCTTCTGGGGAGATGTGACCCCAGGGCCAGGTCTGCTGAGCCCGTCCTGTCCCTGAGCCCTACCAGGCTGGGGACCGGGCAGCCTCAGCACCCCTGTGCCGCGGTTGGTGTGGCCTTCAGGGACACCTCACAACCCTCCAAAACAGGCATCTCCTCCAAGGCCTGGCCTTGCCGCCGGTGCCACTGGGAGGCAGCCGCCACCTCTGCCCTTGGTGCTCTCTTGGCTGGTGCGTCTTGCCTTGCTGCCCGGGGCCGGCCGGCCGGCGCATCCCGGCCGCGGCGCGTGCGACCCATGGTGCTCACTTCTCCGTCTGTTTGACGTCTCCCCGCTACCACCTGGGGCCGGCCAGCCTGGCCCCTTTGCACAGGGGTGTCCCTCCCCACGCTGGCTTGGACACTAGGGCTTTCTGTTCGCCTTCTCTTGTGTTGCCGCCGTCGGCTAAGGACTCGCTGTAAATAGATCTGTAGTCGAACGCCCTGTGTGAGTTGGTGGGGTCTGGCCCGCCGCCTCTTTCCTTTTTTTTTTTTTTTTTTTTTTTTTTTTTCTTTGTGTGAAGTTGGTG